GCAATTTCCCGATTGAGGCTCCCTCAACCCAGGTGTGTCAAGTTGACACTAAAGCTATCCAGCACACTGTCTATTTAAGAAGTGTCCACTCCTCTAAGGTAGAGCTTAAGCTTTTTGGTCTGATGGCCCAGCAGGGAATGGGTTTTATTTTACAATGCTCATTAGGAAAGAAGAAACCATAGTACTTCAACAGAGAATTTAGTGTAAGGAATTGAGTAAACAGATGTTGGGGTATGAAAAATTAAAAAGGAACATGTAATAACCATAAGAGGCAGCTGTGATCTCTAAGGGTGCAAATACAAGAGAGGAGGTTGAGGTTATCAGAGCCCAGAAGCTTGGAGAAGGGGCCCAACAGGACTGGAACTCAGACATCTGAAAAAGGACACTGCCTGGCTAAGCTGATAACTCTGAGCCAAAGGCAAAGATATATGATGCTGCTGGTCCCTGAAGCATAATGAAAAGATGAAGCCAGAAACCTGCTATCAAGCTAACACCTGCTATGTGATGCACGTTGCTCTCCCTCTTCTAACCTTGTGCTTTTTCTTTAGTATTCCTAGTAGCCAGATAACAAAGGGGAAGTGTGGCCTGCACAGTTCCAGCTCTACCACACAGAGCGAACGTTTGTTGATGAAAGTATGTAGCTCAGTTGTTAACTATGCACATGCACTTTGAATTTTTATTGCACGTGTTTCTTTTTTACTTTACCCTATACTACCTTGCTTATCACATTTGCAATATTAAAAAGCCGGGAGAGTAGCACACACTTGTAATCCTAGGACTCAGGAAGATCATCACCAGTTTGAAGCCAGTGTGGTCTACAGAGTTCCAGGCCAGATAAGAGAGCTCCATCACACTGATTTCATGACCTGTGACTTGTGAGTAGGCCCTGATCCAGTGGGAAAAAACTCTGCTATAGCAGGGTAGTAGACCAAGTCACTGGAATCAAGGGTTCTTTCCTCCTGACTCTTCCCCCAGCAACATGACTTGCAAAGAATCCCTCCACTGAATATATATTTGGGCCATATTTCTCTAGGTTTCAGGAATATTTATATAAAGAGGTTGTAGATGTTTTGTATACAGTTAGTGCCCCCTTATTCCTGAGTTTGCTTTTTGTTAACTATAGTCAACAAAGACTTAAAATGTTCAATGGAAAATTCCAGAGACAAATAATTAGTAAGTTTTAAGTAACTATTACAGTACAATGATGCTATTGTTAAGTATTATTAATCTCTTACTAATTAAACTCTATCATGGATATATCTTTAGAAAAAACCTCCAGCATACAGGATCTAGTACTACCCACTAGGGGCCTTTGAACACTATCTTTCACAAGCAGGGGTACATAACCTTCTAGGGTCCTAGAAGGAAATACCAGAGAAAAGGTGAGAACTGGCAGTAAAAATATCTATCATGGGAATGGGGAGATAGTTCAGTTGGTCAAATGCTTGACACATAAGCATGAAGACCTGAGTCTAAGCCCCAGTTCAAAAAGCCAAGCACAGTGGTGCACTTGTAATCCCAGCTCTGAGGCAGATCCCTGGGGCTCACTGGTTAGCCTAGCCTACTTGGTGAGCTCCAGGCCACTGAGACCCTGTCTCAAAAAACAAGATTGACAGGGCCTGAGGACTGACACTTGAGGTGGCCCTCTGGCCTCCATATGCCTGTGTGTACATGTGCACTCCGAGAAATGCACAGAAGAGTTTGAAATAGGAGAAACTACAAAAGCCAACTAATAAACAAAGGGTGAGGCTCCTCTAGCTCGTAGAGTTGGCTGTCAAGTGAGGGCGGCAGGAAATGTGAATAGAGAGAAGAGTGATAGGATTAGGAGGAGAAATGATCTAGAAAGTTTCATGAAAAGGCTGAGTTTGAGTTTGCAGAACAGAGGAAGTGACCAACAGAAGCAACAGAATGAGGCAAGGAAGCATGAGGCCTGCTTGGTAGGGTTCTGGGACTCTGGCATCAGGACCAGAAAGAGAAATCTGAGCATCGACTAGAGCTGCCAGGTGAAACCCTGGAAATGGGGTGGGCAGTTGTAATCCTGGGAACTATCGTCACGTTTAAGGAACTGGTAGAAGAGGTGGTGAATAATAAAATGTAGGTGGAAAGCTCTGAAGAGAACAGGGCTATGGGTCACCAAGTAGAGTGATCAGCAACAGCAACATCCAATGCTAGATGCCAAGAAAATTGAGAACCTAGGGAAAACACCTAGCTTTGGATCTGGCATGGGAAGTGTGGCTAACAAGAATGGGAGACTAATGTAACCTCTTTCAACTCCATGTTCTGGGGGTTTGCATAGTGCTATCGCTATCACTTGAATGACACTATTCAGTGAAAATCCTAAAAACTTTCTTGTGGTTCTTAGTCCTTCCCAGCTGTCTGTGGCATTCCAGATGTTTCCCACCGTGTGTTTCCCACTGCACTTTAGTGGCTCACGGTCTCTGCTTGACCACCCATCTCTAGCTCACAAGAGCGGCAAGTGGCTGTCTGCGTTCTCTGCTGTCACTCATTCTCAGATGGCTTGACCTGCTGATTCTCTGGGAGCCTGGCATAAGAAATAAAGAGGCTGGGCCTTCGTACTTGCTTTTGGTGACTTTTTCACAGCTGCAGACTACACTACAACCCTGGCCAGCTGCCTTGCAGAGACAAGTGACAGTCACACAGGAAACCATGTGAGGGATAAATGGATCAGGTGAACTTCATCCCTACTACAAAAGCGTGTGTTCAGCTGGGAACAAATCAGTATCATTTTCTCCAGTAAAGGAGAAGCTACATGCTCATTACATATGCAGAGCTGTGACCAAAATGTGACAGGTGACAGGTTTGGGTGTTGTTTTCTATAAAGGTGTCATTATGCTTGGGACTTTGTTCTGGACTTTAGAACTTAAACACTGTCATTTCTTCTGTATAAGGTAGACTTTAAGAATTCTGATTTCATTTATTCCCCTTAAGTAACAGATTTCAGGTATTCTCATCTGCTTCCTTAAATTAAGTAGGAGAAGTCATTCTCATGGCTATAATAAAGGTTTTAGTAACTGAAACCACTATGAAGATAGCCTGCCAGACAACATCCATAACTGCTTAATACTTACTACCCTATGGACTAAATAGAATATGAAGATATATACTGTGTTGTAAAAACATTGTGCCCGTGTGTCTGTACATAGAGGCCAGAGGAAACCTGCTCCTCAGGTGCTATCCATCTTTTATTCACTTTTTTCCTTCAGGGTGTCTCACTGGCTTTGAACTCGACAAATAAGCTAGGATGGCCTTCCTAGTGCTGAGATTACAAATTACACCACCACATCTGCCTTTTTAATTTAACTTAATTTTTAACGTGAGTTCTGGACATCAAACTCAAGTCCTTGGAAGTAAAGCACTTTGTGAACTGAGCCATTTCCCTAGCCCCTGAAAAAAAATGTTAATTGCTGGTACTAGAGTTTCTCTTGGGGAAGGTACTTTCTTTGTGAAGGAAAATAAACTGATAAACAGTTTAGGAATGGAAGGGAGTCATGAAGGCATGGGTTAGGAGACGGAAAAGTACTGCATAAAGAGAGGAAAGAGTGGGAGAGATGGCACTGGAGAAGTGGTGGGCAGTGGCAAGTTGTGGCTTATGTTGAAGAGATGGGAGTTGGTGGATGAAAATGCCATGGGAAGGAATGGACTTTTAAGCAGAGGAATTTCTAATTTAGGGTTTGTGTGTGTATGCATGTGTGTGTGTGCGTGTGTGTGTGTGAGTTAAAACCACCTACTCCAAATCTCCATACTCAAAAAGTATTCTATGCAAAAACAAAGAAAGGGAGTTGATATCCAAATAGGAGAGAAAAGAGCTGCAAGTGAGAGGTAAGGATGACCAAGTGTCAAAGAACCTAGCTCTAGAAGTGACTCTGAGGTTCTACGGTTTGTGTGTGTATGCATGTGTGTGTGTGCGTGTGTGTGTGTGAGTTAAAACCACCTACTCCAAATCTCCATACTCAAAAAGTATTCTATGCAAAAACCAAAGAAAGGGAGTTGATATCCAAATAGGAGAGAAAAGAGCTGCAAGTGAGAGGTAAGGATGACCAAGTGTCAAAGAACCTAGCTCTAGAAGTGACTCTGAGGTTCTACGGCCCCCAGGGCCTGTACAGTCAGGGGACTGTGCCTCCCCACAGAAGTGGTTAAGAGATTTGAACCAATTTTAACAAAATCTTTGAGACAAGGTGACCCTGACAACATAGAAACTTTTTTAGCCTTTGTCCCCCCACCTCTTTGAGACAGAGTCTAGCCTTATAGCCCAGGCTGGTCTACAACTGACAATGTAGCCCAACCTAACCTAAAATTTGATGCAAGCCTCCTGCTTCAGCTTTCCAAGTTCTGTGATTACATGTGTGAGTCATATACTAACTCAACCATAATTTATTTATCTTTTTCTTCTGACAGGTTTCATGTATCCCAGACTGGTCTTGAACTTGCTAGGTAGCTGAGGATGACCTTGAATTCCTGATCCTCCTGCCTCCATCTTCTGAGTGCTGGAGTTACAGGTATAAGCCACTAAACTCAAGTTTTATGTGGTTTGGGGGATCAAACCCATGGCTTCATGCATGATAGGCAAGCACTCTGTAACAACTGAGTTGTATATACAGTCCTATAATTTCTTAAAACATTAGAAATGTCAAGGTCAGTAATTTACTTTTTTTTTTTTTTTTTTTTTTTTTTACTATTAAATCCCTCGGTCTCAATGTCCTTAATCTATAAATGCTGGAGACTGGGCCTAGAATATGTCTAAGGTTTCTAGTAGAGCTCTGATATTATGTTTTTCTAAAAAGAAGATTTTAGTTATGTGTGTATGTGTAGGTCTGTGTATGTGCACAAGTACAGCTGTCTGTGGAGGCCAGAAGAGGGTCCTCTGGGAACCTGGGTCCTCTTACAAGAGCAGTAAGTGCTCTTAACCACTGAGCCCTCTCTCCACCCCTATATTATGTTCCTTTTTTTCTTTGTTTTGCTTAAAAATTTTTTTTTTTTAAATCTCAAAAGCCAAATCCTTGTATGCTTTTTCTTCAGGCTATCAGCTTTGGGATATAGGTCATCACTGATTTATTACGGGTGCCTTTTGAGGTGAATTTACATACAGTAAAATATAATTAACTATACCATTCCATAAGTTTTGACAACTGCAAACACTTCTTTAACCTAAACCCCAGAAAAACTCCTCTGCCAATTCACCTTTAACAGCTAGCCAACCATTATATTAACTTTTATCTCAACAGATTAAATAATATTTGAAAGCTACAGTTAGGTGCCAGACTTTGTTTCATACATACTGCTTCCTCAGCAATAGAGTTTCTCACTCCATTTCCAGACTAAAACGTTAAGGATCAGAGAAGGTAGATAAAGTGCGCGGACTCATGAGCCGCGAAGTAATTAGCCAGGATGCTAAGAACCAGTTTTAGAACCCTATGCTTTTAATCACAGTTTGTACTATATTGTCACCCTGGAGAGTTGGCAAACGATTGCCTAAGACACTTTAACAGCTTCAAATTCAATCGCGATCAACGCTATTAATAAACTCCAAAACGTGGTGAGTAATCCTAAAGACTGTGTGTGCATGCCATCTTAGGCAATGGCTCCCTTCTATTCCACTCTCCAGAGAATGACAGAAAGGGGCTGGGAAAGGCCGCAAATTCCCAAAATCTGGAGGAGTTTGCACACATCCCAGCTCCGTCTCCTCTCATGCCCTCTAACCAGCGAGCCGCGCACCGCGCCGCTCCGGCCGTCCTCAGGCCAGACATCCGCGTGAATGCGGCAGGTTCAGCGCGCCCAGCGACGCGGACAGGGTTCCTCCGTGTCCCGCCAGTCCTACTCCTCAATGGCGCGGTCTACCCCAGTTCTACATCCGCCCTAGCCGTCCTACCCCGGCAACCCGGCTTGCCAGGCTCCTCCCGGAGCTGACTCAGCTCCACGCCCTCCCCTAGCTGCCATGGCAACTGTGCGTAGCCGCCTCTCCACGCACCGCACGAACTAACGGACTCCGGGCTGCCACCGCCCCCGGCTCTGGCGACCCTGAGCTGCTGTTAGGTAGTGAGCCCGCGGGGCCAGCGCGAGCCGGAGCGCCGGGCTGAGACGCCTTGGTGGGCAGCCCCACTCGTCCCGCGGGTCGGACGCCAGGCCGCCTGGTGAGGAGGATCAGGGAGCAGCAAGGGCGTGAGCGCCGGTCGCGGGGCATCATGGTCCTTGTAGTTCGGAGGCGCCTGGGGCTCCCCGCCCAGGCTGGGTGACTCCGACTGGCGAACTACAAAGCCCGTAGGTCCTGAGCAGGGCGAAAGACCGAGGATAAACTTGGAGGAGACCCGAAAGAGTGAATGTGGCTCTTTGTCTGCACCGGGCTCTCGGGTGGTCGCGGAACGGGGCACAGTGCACTGCGCTGGGAAAGCGGAGGTGAGCCGTGGGCCTAGGCGCTGCGCTCTGGCCTGCCGCTACATTCCCAGCCCCGCCCCGGGCCACCGCCCCGCACAGGCTGGGCTGGAGCAGCCGCCCCGCTGCCCGGCCTGGGCCTTCTGCGCCTTTCTCCCTCCTGGGGAGCGGCCTCTCGTGCAGAACCGTATGTATGACACAAGTTTGAAGCGACCCGAGAAACCTGTAATTTAACAGGCCTTTTGCCTTTCCCTGAAAGATTCATTTCTAGGTATTTATGCTTATTTTAAAGTAACTCAGGTGTTGGCATATTAAGCACATCCAGTAGTGTACTCAAAGGACATTAATAATCAAAGACTAAGTGTGAAAGCGGATGAAAGGGATTGCTATTAAATGATAGTATCTATTTTTACCGTTTTGCATTTTAACTATTGCGGTTCAATGTTGTGAAATAATGACCCCTCCTTCGCCCCTCCACTCCCTACTTGAGAGCCTGAACACTGCCTACACATATTTTGGTTCGGTTTTGAAGACTATTTCAATTTTAAATGGCTAGTAACTTTTAAAGCAAACATTTTTTTAAGTGTTGAATTATTTTCTTTGATTATTCCAATGTTTTTCAGAATTTCTGAGGAGCATATTCTTAGGATGAAAATAACGACATTATTATTATTATTATTATTGTTATATGCTGTACAACACAGCTTAATGACAAGAGCCGAGTGAAGGCCTGGTGGTAAGGAAGCTGGCACATTTGGAAACTGGCCTTCACCATCCTTTTAAAGTTTTTCAGTAGGTAGATGACTGCCTTACAATTTGGTATTTTATGAAGTTGGGACTTTTTTTTTTTTTTTTTTGTCTTTTTGAGGCAGGGTCTCCCTGTAGCCCCAGCTGGCCTGGAACACACTATGTAGACCAGATTGGCCTTGAACTTACAGAGATCTGCCTGCCTCTGCCTCCCGAGTGCTGGGAGTTGGGACTTTTGAAAAATAGTATTATGGGTTCATTTTTTTGTGTTTGTATGTTTTTAGAAACAACAGCAAACACAACAACAAAAAGATCAGGAACACTAAAACTTTTTCTCTTGGTGATGATGACCTCTGTAAATTTTAGTTTAAGGTGGCATTTTTTCTATAAGGAGGAAAAATAGGTTTAGTAAGACCATGGAGGTGAGGGAGAGACCTTATATAGTTTAGGAATTTGAAGTAGTATATTAATTTATTCTGTCAGCTGTTCTGTCAGATGGTAGGGATGAAGAGAAGAAGAGAGCCTGCATGGGCAAACAGTCATGCCGTCATGATTGTGTGACAGGTATAGGTATTGTGATAGGTATAGTTGCTATAGGAGCAATAATAGTTTCAGTGGGAATAATTTCATGATAGTATTTATTGAATGCTTTGTGTGAAGCACCACTGTACATAGTATTTTGCATTCAGGTCCTTCTTTAATCCTCACAAAGAATGGGTTTAGATAGTTTGCCCAAAGTCATGATAAAGTGTGAACCTGAGATTTCAACCTAGGTTTGTCTAACTCATGTTGTAAGTCATGATCCTGACCACGAATGCCATTTCCCCTACCATTTAGAAAGATCTTGATTCAGTCTAAGGGAGTCAGAGGAGTCCTTTGGTATGAAGTAACTTTTTAAAAACTTATTTTTATATGTCTGAGTTTTTTGCCTGCATATATGTAAATGCACCCATGTGTGCATGCAATGCCCACGGCAGCCATAAGAGGACACTGGATCCCATGGAGCTGAAGTTATGAACAGTTGTTAGCCACCACGTGGGTGCTGAGAGCTGAACCTGGGTCTTAGGTAACTGCTGAGCCATCTCTCCAGTTCCTGGTATGAAGTAACTTATGTCAAGAAAGTTAAATAAGCTTTCATTGGAGAGAAGATGAACTAATTCATACTGGGCAAATGACATATTGTAAGCAAAGAATAGATTCATTCATTCATTCATTCATATTTCATTTTCTGAAACAGGGTCTTTGTAGTCCGAGGTGGCTTTGAACTTACTATAGCCTTGAACTCCCGATCCTTTTGCCTCAGCTTCCTGAATGCTAGGCTTACAAATATGAGCCACTACATCTAGCTCCAAGAATAAATTTAGGAATGATTTGCTTTGGGTAGTTCTAAATGACTTGGTTGTTCTAAATGACTGAATCTCAGAGTACTTTCCCAATGGTTGAAGAAGGCAGATATTAAAATACTTGGTACCATGATCAGAATTTAGAATTTTTCTTAATGTGGGGCAGCCCTTGAAGAAAGTAAGGTAAATTAGGGGTGTCACTGGGTTTATATTTTAGAAACATAACTCCAGTTCCCCAATGTGGAAAATGGACCTAGAGGACGAAAGATTAGAGTGGTAGTAGGGAAACCAGTTGTAGAAAAATAAAAAGGTCCAGAATAGAAATGCAGAGTCTGAACTAAGTAGCTGGAATTCTAGAAATACTTGGATTTGAGGAAATTTTTTTTCTAAATTTTATTATTGTTGTGCAATGCCCATGGAAGGCAGAAAAGGGCATTGGATCCCCTGAAACTGGAGTTACAGACGGTTGTTAGCCACCATGTGGGTGCTGGGACTCAAATCTGAGTCCTCTGCAAGAGCAGCCAGTGCTCTTAACCTCTGAGCCATCTCTCCAGTCCCAGATTTGAGGAAATGTTAAGAAGTAAAATCGTGAGTTTGGATGTTGGGAGCTGGAGAGATTTAGAACTGTAAAGCAGATGATGCCTGGGTTCCTCACTGGGATGATTGAGAGGGTAGTGATAATGCTGAGTGAAATGAAGGGGACTGCAGACTGTTGTGGAAGACAAAGAGGAGTTAGTTCACTTTTGAATGTGTTCAGAGTTCCCATGTCATATTCCAGTGGGGATGGATTTAGAACCGGAGTTCAGAGAGATCAGGACTGAATATAGAAGTTTATATATATTTGTAGATAAGTACTTGAAGTTACAGGACCAGTTCACCCAGGAGGAATGAGCAGAAATGAAAAGGGAAGAAGTTTAAGGAACTACCTGGAAATGGTTCATTTGTGGAGGGAGGGAGAGAGTCCATAGAATAACTGAGGCAGAGAGGAAGAACAGGGGGAAAGCAGCAAACAGCAGAGGGGAGGAATGCAAGAACCAGGAATGGTCCCAGAGTATCAGATGCTGTAGAGAGGGTTGGAGAGGTAAATATTGAGAATTGTCCAGTGGACCTGGTGGCTAGAAATCATTTAAAAACCTTGCATAGGGGCTGGAGAGATGGCTCAGTGCTTAAGGGCACTGGCTACTCTAGCAGAGGACCTGGGTTCAGCTCTTAGCATCCACATGGTAGCTAACAACCATCTATAACTCCAGTTCCAGGGGGTTTGACGCCCTCTTTTGACCTCCATGGGGATTGTACACACTGGCGCACTTACATACATTCAACCAAAACTCTCATACACATAAAAGTAAATTTAAAAAAAAACAAAGAAGAGTCAATAAGCATGAACGTCTTTAAAAATGTTTAAAAGCTGGGTATTGTAATCCTAGCACTTGGGAGGCAGAGGCAGGAGGACTGCCTGGGGTATAAGCCAGCCCAGGCTACATAGCAAGACTCTATCTCCAAAACAGAAAGAAAAAAATTAGAAGCTTTTCATAGTGATACCTATACAAAAGAAAAGGATTCCCCCATGTAACTGTTACCTCTATTGAAAAGTGAGCAGTTTCTGAATATACAAAAGAAGTATTGTCACATATTAGACATTGCTAAAATATTTCATGTTTTCATATTTCATATGACCTTTAAAGAGTCCTATAAATACTTCTAATTTATATTAAAAGAGATTTTTAAAATATCTGAATTTCTGGCGAGGCAGGCCTGTAATTCCAGGTGCTTGAGAGATTGAGGCAGGAAGATCATGAGTTTTAGCCCAACCTGGGCAGTTTAGCTATTAAAACATACTTCAAGATGTATTAATTTGAAAGGTAGTAGTTATACATTTTATTAATTGCTTCATTTATAGTGTTCATTGCATGAGATAAACTAGACTTTGGTGATTTGGGTCCATGGGAAAATATTCATCAAAAAGATTAATAAAATGCCTTCTCCTTTTAGAATTAGTGATTATTAATAATTCTACTAAGAGTTATTAGGTTAATAGCTAAGTCTAAAGTAGTTGAGGAATGAGCCAATGGTAGTTCTTGGCCTAAGTTTTCTCTTCATATTTGGCTATTGATTTCCCCAACATTTCAAGTTCTTCCCTAGTAAACCAATCAGAATTTAAGGACAACAGATGGTGATCAACACATAAGGCCACAACCATCCAAAATGTAGAGAATAAGAGACTGCAGAGTGCATGTCCCTGTGATATGACTCCTGTATTAAACCTCTGCTATCCAGAGCTCAGGGATAGTAAGAGTCAGGGGGTGGTGGATGTCCACAAGGAAACAGAATTTTAGTGGTGATTGGGAACCTGTTCATATGAACTTCATGCATAAGACCCATGCAACTCAAACCAAAACTCAGCATAGAAGTGGGGAAGTGGGTAAGAAATCTCAGCCTTTGCTGAGGAACTATTGGCAAACTGATCACTGCTGAGTAAGGGAGAATTGGTCTTCTTTTAAAATTTTTATTTATTTTTTTAAATTTTATGTGTATGAGAGTTATGCTGCATGTGTGTAAGTGTACCTGTGACACGTAGTGCCCTTGGAGAACAGGCATTAGATCCCCTGGAACTGGAGTTATGGATGGTTGTTAGCCACCATGTGGGTGCTGGGATTCAAACCTAGGTCTTCTGCAAGAACAGCCAGTGCTCTTAACTGCTGAGCCATCTCGCCACTTGATGACACTAGATAGGTTGACTGGGCTCCAGTGGATGAACTCATGAGGGACATCTGGGGACACAAACTTGATAAGGCTTAATGTATGTAACAGAATGCATGAAATCTGACAGGGGACTATGAGAGAGGAGGGGAGAGGGTCTAAATATGATTATAATGTATGAAATGCACAAAAATTGAATAAGAAATTTAAGGAGAAAAATCACTCCACCTCATG